CTCCAATTGGAAAGTAGTTGAGTCGAAGAATGGGGGAAACAATAGTTGGTTTGGAAATACTACTTCTGGTCATGGAGGAGATAATTTGTTACCGTCCAGTCACCCTGCCAATCCACTAGCACTCAGTGGTAGGCTGGCAGGGGTGGGTGGGCCAACCATACGACCCACAGGGGCAACCAACAGTATGAAGTGTTTTAAGTGTGCTGAGGCAGACCATAGGATGGCAGATTGAAGTAAAGGAAACAGGACTAAGAAAAATCTATTCATAGATGGCGAAGACATCTATGAAGAGCCTTACTCGGAATATGATTAGACAGTTGTATATGATGCTGCTCAAATGAGAGTCTTCCAGAAGAGCAGGTGGAAGGAGATCGGGGGCCACCACTTGTGGTTCGGCAAGCATGGTTGAATCCTCGAGTTGAGGATAGGGATGAGTGCTTACAGAATAATATACTCCATTCCACATGCACCACTGGCAAAAAAGTTAGTTGCTTGGTTATTGACTCCGGTAGCTGTGAGAACGTGGTGGCAGAATATGTCCAGAAATTGGGCCTACCCATGGAACAACACTTCAAACCATATAAACAGGCATGGCTCAAGAAGGGCAACAAGGTAACAGTTTCTAAATATATTTATTGTCCTTTTCCATTGGTTCAAATATAAAGATAAGGTGTAGGGTGGTGTTATTACCATGGAAGCATGTCACCTCCAATTGAGGAGACCGTGGCAATTTGATTAAGTTGTCAGGCATGATAGGAGAAGGAACACTTACAATTTCATGTTTGATATTGTTAAGACGGCTCTGTTGCCTAGTCGAGATCTTTCTTCAAAGCCATCATCTTGGGGAACTTCTAATTATTGTCAAGGGCCCAGTTTAAAGAAGAGATATTTGAATCTAGAGATGTCTATGTGTTGATCAGCAAGGAGGAGCAAACTAGTGGAGTTTCTGTCCTAAAGGATTTCAACCTCTACCTGAAGAACTTCAAGATGTCTTTTCGGATGATTTGTCGAATGAGTTACCACCCTTGCGAGATATTCAGCACAAAATCAATCCAAACTTGACATGCTTTAACTTATTTGATGAAGTAAATAACATCATTGTATGTTATGGTTGTTCCGAACCAATGAAACATTACCGAAAATTTTGCACCAAGAAATTTTTTTGATTTGTTCATTTCCAAGAGGAAAAAAATTATACACCACCGAGTAGATCCAATCTATTGATAAACTTTGCTCTAGTTCATGCAAATGAACATAGTTGGGTCCCACCTACAGATCTGGAAGTAAAAACAAAATATCATTCTCTTTGGGTGGACTCAACAAATTTTTGTCTTCCTTCACTGCTGTTTTATGAATGGAAATTGATTTCAAGTAGACATGATTGTACATGGTCACCCATAACTTGGGTGGACCTACTTCCAAGCAAAGTTAATTTTAGTTTTTCTTAGTGTCTAGGGTTTTGGCATGGAAAAGGATAACAATCAGTCATGGTTCAATTGGATCGAGATGACCAAGATATTCATGATCATCATAAATCCTATGGATAAACTTTGGGTTTGCCGAAGGCCGAAATAGATAACCACCCAAGTATAAGCCCAAATTCAATGGAATGGTTGAAAGCCTATGTTTAGACGAATACTTACATTTTGAAATGAATTCGATGGCAAATTCTTTCCAACTTGAAGAGAATGATGTAGCATGGGTGTGAAAATTTTGGTACTCTATCGTATATTGTCAATGTCGTTCAATTAGAAAATTCTAACAAATTTTATTTTATTTCTTAATTTAATTAGGAAATTATTTTATTTTTTGATTCAATAAGTATCTTGTTTTATTTGATTTCCTAATTTATTTAGGATTCTAGTTTTTCCTAGTTGCTTTAGGGTTTCTACTAGTATTTAAAGTCTTGTAAGTCTAGGGCAAAACAGCTATTGATTATTGAATAAAATTGAAAGAATTGTCTCTTTTCTTTTCAATTCTTTTGATATTCTTAGAAATGAACAGAGTTATTGAAGCCTTTAAAACTAGTATTCTTTGTGAATCAATAGACTTAAAATAGGAATCTAAATCGGTACTTGTGCATAAATTAACAGTTTATTTTTATTATCTATTTTCATTCATTATACCATTGTTTTTACCTACTTCCCCGCATCAATATTGCTATCTAAGTCCAGGAAGATGGGGTCTTGGAATCAAGGGGTCATCTGTGGTTCCACATTGCCTACCAACGGGGATTTTTAGTAGCCAACCTAAATCAGACTACCGCACCAAGCCAAGGACGAAGTCCTATACCAAAACTTCAACCAAGGGGCAATGTCACACTGTATATCAGGTGGAATAATGGACCTAGGATGCAGAATATCATGTCTAACCAAGTATACTAGATAAAGAGTAGCCGCCTGAGACAAACTACCATAGTTATCCAAGTATATGGACAAGTGATTTCGTAACAATTACTCATGCCAGCTTGGAGAAAGAGCTAGCCATGTGCCATAGGTTTATAGGGCATCTACAAATGTCCATGTAATCCAAGAAGAGAGATGGGTAGCTATAGCTAATGAGTAAGATTGAAACTGACACGCCAAAATGTAACACTAACCTGTTTTGCAGCCATTAGCCTTAATTCTTATATTATCAACATCAAATAAGCTACTTCAAGACATCTTGATGTTTAAATAAGAACCTTTAAAGGATTACAAATCTAATGGAAACCTATAGAAGATTAATTAGTGGCAGAAAAATGAGAAGCAAAAGTACAAGAATCAAGATAGAAAACCACATAGAGTGATTTGAACAGGAACTTCTATCATGGAACTGCATCCACTGTCCCTAGCACCTTAAACAAAATTGAAGTTGAAGCCATGATATTCAACCATTTCAAGTACGTTTGCAACCTTACAAAATTAGTGTTTTTAGCCGGTAAATAATGATTTGAAGTCAATGAAGTAAGATTTGATTTATAATCTTAAGACTTGAGCGAGAACCAAGATTAGACAACCTTTTCAAGCTATTTCTCGCAATTTGGCTGTCAGAAAAGTGTATGTCACTATGCACTTACTGGAGTCTAGTACTAAACATAAATTTTTTAGCCTTCTTCAGTATCTTATTCCCATGATACAATAGCTAACTCAAAGGAGGACTTATTAAACGAGGAAATCAACTCCGGCAAGAACTAAGCTGTAAGAGTACAAAATAAGGTTTATTAACCCTGAGTTGCTAAGAAACACAGATACGATACAACAAAGACACACTGACACGAAAATTTTCAAAAAAAATAGGGCACAAATACATTGTGAGACAAGTTAAATACTATGTATTTTTTTAGTTATATTAGCAATGCCCAACGTGCATTGCACGTGAACATATTTAAATAATAATTTTTTTAAAAAAAAATCAACTTATATTTGTAATTAAATTGAACAATAAATTATATAGTAAATAATTAATTCTTATTTTAATTATTATTAAATTTAATTTTTAATTTATTCTACTCCTTTTTGGAGTACCTAATCTGCAATTTTTTAAGTATCTCTTCGGCCTCGTTAGAATTTTATTTGTTGTTTATAGTGGAGTTTAAAAATTGTCATTATTGAGTACTTGCACATCAAACTTATTATCGATTTATTATAATTTATTAACAAAGATATTGATTACATTGTAATACTATTATTTGTATTAATATTATGATATTGTTTAATACCCAAAAATCAAGTATGAAATATATTTGATCCTAGAATCTAATTTGGCAATTTTATGTTAATAAAATTATGGATCATGCTATTTATGTACCTGTATTATAAAATTATTGGAGTTCTCAAAATTATAATTGTAATTAAAGATTTAGCTTTATAGAATAAGTGAATAGTTAAAGACCTAATGCTACCTTATAAGAAGATTTTTGGTTCAAATGAAATTTGTAGGCTAATAGGACATGAAAGGAATAAGAATGACATTAATAAGAACAAGTGGGGGGTATCATTGACTTTATAATAATAATTAGGTATAAAATAGGAAATCAAAAATTTTTCGCAGATGCTAACATTTATAAGTAGTATAGATATAGATTAAATTTTTGCGTGTGTGTGTATAATAATGTGATAAAATAAATATATTTTCCGACAAGTATAAAATAAATATATTTTGATAATAATCATTCAATTCATCCTTTCTTTAATTTTAACACCTCACATCATGATATCATCANATTTTCCAAAAAGTATAAAATAAATATATTTTCCGAAAAGTATAAAATAAATATATTTTGATAATAATCATTCAATTCATCCTTTCTTTAATTTTAACAACTCACATCATGATATCATCCAGTAAAAAATTCAATACCACATATATCAATACGCACTCATCATAAATATTCATGACTCAACAATCAATGATTATTACAATTTTTATTTTCAAAAATATCCCAAATCCTAAACCCTAATTTTCATCAATTTCAAAGAACCCCAATTTCATAATCTACTTTTCATCACATTGCTTTCAAATATCCATGTCCCATATTCATGTAGTGATTAAGCTCTTTCTACATTATGCATTTGATCCACATTTCTTTAAAATACAAAAATAACTTCCTTAATTATAAAGTTGTAAGACAAATTTGAAAAAAAAAAAAAAATCAAAACGTGTCCTTGGGCGTGTCCATAGCGTGTCCCCNATCCACATTTCTTTAAAATACAAAAATAACTTCCTTAATTATAAAGTTGTAAGACAAATTTGAAAAAAAAAAAAATCAAAACGTGTCTTTGGGCGTGTCCATAGCGTGTCCCTGGTGAGTTGTGTCAAAATCTTAGGAATGTACCCCATGGTCCTTGTAAATATTCAAAGGATCATCAATATCATCCGAATAGGAAAATGTAGCACATAATTGAATGCTATGCATGACCTTTGAGTACAAACACCAAACTTAAGGTGTATGATATAAAAGAAATGACACCTTAATCATAATATTAAGTAAGCACAGCACCAAAGAAGAAATTGAAAGATTAAACAGCTGATGAAGCAAATAAAAATGAAAAGACAAAATCAACGGAGTAATCTGCCCTTCAGCTATCCATTCGAATAAAGTATTCAATACAATGAGAAGCTTAAAAATGAATCTCATCTCAAAGCTTAAAAGCACAATGCTTGACCACTATCAAATCTCATATCCTTAATCCAATAACATACACATTAATTGAATCGCAATGTGTAAAACCAGAAATTTATCAAGGAATATACCTCATATCCTTGTGCACGATGAATCAAAATCATCTGGAGCAACCCTTGCAATCCAACTACTAAGCGTCCTCTTAATGTCCGAATGATTCACATAAGCCAACTCATACATACTACACAAATTCACCACAAGAGTCTCATTCAACGCCATGGTTGGAATTCTCTCCAATGCACTCTCCAACACCTTAATCGAATCTGACAAATCCCTCAAATACATCAAGCAAATCGCTTTATTGTTAATTGCCACCACATCAGTCCCATCCCTCTCCATACACTCCTCATATTCCCTCACCGCAGAAATGTAGTCCTTCCCCACCATGTACATCAAAGCCTTATTCCTACTCACCAAATTCCTCAACTCAACCTCACCATTCCCCTCTTTCACCAAATTTTCGATAAACCCAAATGTCCCTTTTGCCCCTTCCAGATCCCCATATTGCATCTGCACATACCCCAGCTTTGACAACAACATTGTCCTCGAATCCAAACTCTCACTTTCACTCCGATTAATCAAATCCCTAATCAAATCTATGCAAATCCCGAACTCCTTGTGACTCAAATGATGACTAATAATCGAGTTCATAACAAAAACCTCGCGTTTCCTCCATAATTCTGCGGAGGAATCACTTAATTTCTCGGATGATTTGTCTGTTAACTTTGTACGGACGAAATCGAGGAGGGTATAGAAGCGATCAAGGGTTTTTTGACGCTTGTTGTGCTTTGAAGGGAGTTCAGCATGGAGCCAACGGAGGGCGAAGGGGACCATGGAACCGGTGATATTGGGGTAAATGTGGGGGTAATTTTGGTATAAATACTGGGGAGATTTGAGGTCTTCGAGCGAATCGAGCTCGGCGATGGCGTCGACGAAGCGGCGGAGTTTGGTGAGTGCGAGGGCATTGAAGGTGAGGTAGAGGAGATGTTCATGTGGTTTGGTGAGGAGAGAAAGAGATCGGGCGCGTGAGACTTTATCGAGAATAGTGAGCCATGAGCCGCGTGAGGTGAGGTCCTGGAGGGAGGTGAGGTCGTGGCAGAGGTCGTTGAGGGAGGCGTATGGGTTGTTCAGTGGGTCGTCGGCGAGGGGTTGGGGATCGGCGGTGGGAGGTGGTGGTGGTTGTGTTGTGGGTGAGTCGGAGAGGTCCATGGTGCGAGGTGATGCGGTGGTTTGTTCGGCTGGTGGGGGTGGCTTATCGGTGGTGATTGTGACTGACTTAAGTGGGCTTGTTGATTCCATTTGTGGGTAGAGTGGTTCAAAAGACAAAATGCTGGGCCTGGGTCAGTGTATGGTTTGAGGCCGTGATTTTGGAGGAAATATTACATGCTTTAGAGGCACTAGGAGAAAGTCCAAGGTCTGCAAAATAGGTATTTAAAATATATTTAAATATTATATTTTTTATTTTAATTAGTTATTTTTTAAAATTCAGTTCAATCATGCTCTCTATTTTAATTAATTATTTCAACTAATTTTAACGAACTTTCAATAATATAATTCAAAAATATTGAGTATGTCATGTCACCAAAATTTTAAATTTCAAATTTTACAACAGTTATATTTACAACGGTCATATTTTCAACAGTCATATTTTTAAAAATGTATAAATATAACATCTCCCTTCTCATTGTTATATATCTTAAATTTATTTTACTGACATTGCACTCATACATTGTCTATTTACCATGGCTCGTGATGGTAAGTTGAAGATGATTATTAATGATTCTGACTCTGATGATGAGTTAGAGATATTAGCGGTTGCTATTATGGCAATGGAGAAACTGAATACCAAGAATAGCTCCACAGCACATTGTGGTTCTATTCAAGGTCATTATGTTATTTTTCACAACCGAGTTGAAAGGCATGAGAGTTTTTATCGCGATTATTTTGCTGAATCACCTACCTATCCCCTAAATTTATTTTGGAGAATGTTTCGAATGAATTGATCTTTTTTCGTTCGTATTTCTATCAATGGTGAAAGCTTATGATTCATACTTTATCCCAAAAAGGAATGTTCTTGAGAATATTGTTTTGTCTCCCCTTCAAAAGATGACCACCACTATAAGAATGCTTGTCTGTGGAGTTACAACAGATGCTATTGATGATTATGTTAGGATCGACAAAAACACCGCAGTAAAAGTTTGCAAAAAGATTTGTATTGGCCACAATAACAATTTATTCTGACGAGTACCTTAGGTCACCAAATAGTGCGGACATTGCTAGATTATTGGCAATGTAAAGATCAGAAAAATGAGGATAAATTTTTCGTTTTGCCGGTAGGGTATTATTCATGAACCATTTGTCGATAGGACAATACATATGCATCATTTAGGCATAAGTCATGTTTAGGAGCATAATTTGATTATGACGTAGAAGGGAACATGCTTAGAATGTTAAAATACACTTACTGTGTGAATTTGAACCTAAACATAAATAGTTTCAAAAATTAAATTAAAAGAGCATCCCAGGTGTGGCCAGGTGGGACCGACCACAAGCAAAAATCTATTTTTTAAAATTTTTTTATTTAAAATAATTTTAAAAACTTTGGTTAAAATAAAATGTCAAATTGAGGAGTTTCGGGACGAGTTGTAGTGTAATGGGGTCCCGAATTTATCAAGGGTAAAAGAGTCTTTTTACACTTTTGTCCCTCCACTATAACTATAGTCTCCTTAGTGTAAAAATATCAGTTTTTGGTCTGGGAAGAGGCAGTACACATTAAAGGAGGAAAAATAAAGAAAAATCCTTGGTTCTTCAAGCTTCAAGTCGCCAAAATTCACTCATAGGCCAAGATTTTTGCAAGACTTTCTTCTAGGAAGTTGTTCCTCTCAACAAGAGCTATATTTTCACCAATCGGTTCAGCTGTACAATGAACATAACTCCTTTGGTTTGAGAAAAATCATTTTAGATATGACATTTTGCTAAATTAGGAATAAATTTAAGTTTTTTTGTCTTTCTATGTGTTGATTGAATGATTTAGGTGTTTACTTGATGCTAGAAAATCACTAAGGTGGCAGTTGTTTTGAAAACTTAGAATTTGTTGTTAAGTACTTTTGTGTTCTTTGAGTTTTTTGACAATTTGTTGCTATGATAAAGGTGTACATTGCTTATGTGTTGGATTATTATATTCTAACTTATATTTATGTAGAGAAACTCTTGTGGTTTGAGAGTTATGATTTATTCAATGAGTTGGTAGTTTGTGTATTTGTATTTTTTTTGAGAAATTTTGAAAGTAATGAACATGAAAGTTGATCATATATTTAATTCATTGAATTGTGCCTCACATTCGTGTAGATAAAGTGTTGTAAATTTGAAGTTATGCTTTACTTTATGAATGAAGCATATTTTAAGTTATACGTCATGTGTTGATTAAATGTTCCATAGAATTTACATTGCGAAAAATCAGGGCATCTTGACATACATAAATCCTTGAAAACATAGTGTGGGTTGAGCACTTGGTGCTATGCATTATGAGGGTATAGATCATGTGGTGAAAAACTCAAAATCTGACCAATGATAGTACTTGCGGGCTAACGGGGGCGGACCGTGAAGCGAGACATGGGTGGCATAGAATTGCATGTATATGTCATGCATATTGACATTGCATAGCATTGAGGGATCATGGGGTTGTAGTTTTTAAAATGTATGCTTGCACATTTCACACCTTAAATTTGTTCATAGCATTAGCACATTGTTATACCAGCAATTGAGCTAACTCATTCATGGGATATCATATTACAAATGAGACTCCCGGTACTTGAGACTTGAGGAAGTCTTAAAGGAAGGAGAGGAAAGGGACTTAAAAGGATATTTGACCTTTGGGGAATATTTTGTATGTATGGGCATAAGTTCAAATGACTTGTATTTCGGTTTAGAAAAGTAGTGGATTATAGGTCTTGGACCATTTTAAAGTGTAAGAAAGTAAACCCAATTGATATGTGGGACATCTTTATTTAATGAGTATCATTTGTGTATATTGAGACAACTAGATGTGTATGTTGAAAACAAGAGATATATGTTTAATTTACATGGATTGTGGCCACCGAGTGAGGGTGAATTGTGATATACTTATACATATGAAGTATTATGAATATTAGATGGGAAAAGGCTTAGAAAACAAAGGAGGTTAAGTTGAAATTTTATGAAAAAATTAAAAGACTTGTTAAATGTGTAAAACACCTTTTAAATAGATGGGAAAAATATCAAAATGGAGGATTTTTAGAAACCTTGAAATAATAGGCTAAAAATGGAAGAAAAATGGCTTTAAAACCTTTGGAAAAATATGGAAAATGAATGAAAAATCAATTTATCTAACCTAATGACATTTCATTTACTTTTCTTCTTCTTTTTCACTCATTCCCCGGGTTTGTGAAAATTCGGGGTGTGACAATTTGGTATCAGAGCATAGGTTCGAATACCTAGAGACTGTGATAGGGTCGTGACACATGGTTTTAAATTTTGGTGAGCATTATGTTAAGTGTAATAACTTGTTTGGTGTATGTTAAGACATGTTGTTGTTGGTTGTGAAGTGTGAGTTGTTGATATGTGCATGCTTCTTGTTCTTTTAAATTCTTATGTTTAATGTGAAAAAAGGTATTAATTTTTAAATGTCTATTGGACTTGTAGACACATGCCACAAAAGAGAACTCTTGCTAGACCAGTAGTACCTAGGCCCGGTAGGCCTAGGGCTGCTGCACCACTGCGGCACGGTAGGCCCCGAGCTGTTGCTGCTACTTATAGCACAACTGAGGAGGTCGTTCCTTCTGTTCCTGCTCCTGCATAGATATGATGGTCATTGTATAGGAGTGATTTCAAGCCATGTAGGAGACCAGGACTACAGGTGGCGAGACTAGGAATACCTTTATGATGAAGGTATTTTAGAGGATGAGACCTCCTACATTTGCTGGACAGCCCGACCTTCTAGTAGGTGAGGAGTGGTTAGAGAAGATCACCAAGATCCNTATTTTAGAGGATGAGACCTCCTACATTTGCTGGACAGCCCCGACCTTCTAGTAGGTGAGGAGTGGTTAGAGCAGATCACCAAGATCTTGGACTTACAGGAGATCATGGAGCCGCATTTGAGCATCAGGTGTGCCTCCTTTTCAGTTTACTGAGTTGACTAGTCAATGGTGGAGAGTAGCTGCTGACTAGATATACAGTTTTGGGGAGGGATGGTATGCCTTTGTGGCTATGTTCAATGATCACTATTTTCTTGAGACACACGAATTGGGTATATGGATGAGTTCATGACTCTCCTACAATGAGACATGATGGTGATTCAGTATGAGTCTCAGTTTATTGCATTGGAGAGATTTGCCCCACATGTTATGCGAGAAGAGCGACTAAGGGTCCTTTACTTTGTTAGGGGGTTGAAGACCTTCATCAGGGATAGACTTGCAGACCACATTATTGAGACCTACGACGAGGCAGTGATTAGGGCCACCAAGGTTGAGAGAGAGTTTGTCGACCTTAGGGGGATCAGAGAGTCCCAAATTTAGAGTGGGGTAGTTACAGCTCAGGCTTCTACATTTGTCCCAGTTTACACTAGTAGGGGACCAACAAAGAGGGATAGGACTAGTGCTTTTTTTGCACAGACATCGCAACAACCTGCCCAGTTTTTAGCCCCTCGACCTCCTATGCCTTTTTCCTTCCAAGAAGGAGTACCTCAGAGACCCTTTACTTGTTACCAGTGTGGACAGCCTGACCATAAAATGGCTGATTGACCCCAAAGAGATCCCAGCTAGGGGCATAGAGATGGATCGAGCCAGGGGTCATTTCCACCACCGGTACAGGGTCCGGGGTGGAGAGCTCCACAACTTTGCTACACCTGTCAATAGACGGGCCATGTTAGGGCTAACTATCCTCAAGCGCAGACTTCACAGAGCTCGCAGATGCCACATTACTATCAGCATACTCAGGTGCCTCTGCCATAGCCATACCATAGACCTTCGGTATCATATTTTTAGTCTACACCCTCTGCACAGAGTGTTAGAACTCCCAGCCACAGGGGAGGAGGTCAGTAGGGACAGAGGGANCCAAATCTAGAATGGGGAAGTAGGCAGGGCCAGACTAGTCAAGGTCGTGTTTATGTAGTCGCCACACCAGAGGCCAGTGGAGGTATTGGACTCAAGAGACCAGGTTTTGCGAAGCAAGACCATCCATTTGGTCAAGGTTCTTTGGAGTCATCATGGGGTCAAGGAGGCTACTTGTGAGCGTGAGACTAAAGTTTGCGCTAGATATCCAGAGTTGTTTATTTATGGAGGTACATTTCTAAATTT